CCGAACCAAGCACAAGGGTAGCCCCATGTAGAGCGCGTTACAGAAGTCAAGAAATAAGAAGACTAGGAATGGGAAGGGCAGGTATGAAAGAACTGGAAAAGATACTGAAAAGCAAAGACATATACAACTGAGTACTAAAGTCAGTATCGTCCAAGACATTGTATTTCCAATTACCATGTATGAAGGCGAGATCTGGACAGTTAAGAAAGAAGATAGGAAGAAGAGCAATTCATTTGAGAGGTGGTGCTGAAGAAGAGTACTTAGGGCCTGAACAGACTGCCAGAAATAATCCAGCTGGAAACCACTTTAACTGCCCTGGCCCAGTGCTAGGGAATCATGGGAACTATAGCAGTAGAGAAAGCAACTTGAAACTTTCCAAATGATCAGTATTTATCATGGGAAATGGTTAACATTGGTCCAAAAAACACTGCAGAAATAATCGTTTGAGACCATTTTAACTGCCCTGGAATCCTGGGAATTGTTGCTTATTGTGGCACCAGAGTTCTCTGAAGAGAAGGCTCAATGTCTGAGAAAAACTACAGTTCCCATGATTCCCTAGCATTGAGCCAGGATAGTTAAAGTGGTCTCAGGCTGGATTATTTCTGGCAGTCTGTTCAGGCCCTTGGGATCCCATGGACAGCCAAGAAGACAAACAAATGGGTCCTTGAACAGATCAGACCAGGGCTCTTCTTGGAGGCAAAGATGATCAAGTTGAGACTATCGTACTTTGGCCACATCATGGGAAGGCACGGATCACTAGGAAAAAAACAATGCCAGGAAAAGCAGAGGGTAGAAGAAAGAGAGGAAGATCACAAAACAGATGGATAGAAGGGCTCGCAGGATCTGGGCAAGACAGCTGAAGATAGGGATTCTTGGAAGTGTTTCATCCACAAGGTCGCCATGAGTCTGAACCGACTTGAGGGCAGCTAACAACAACGCTTTTGTTCCTCCGCCTCTTACCTTCGACGACGCCGCAGAGGAACCGCCGCGTTCCCCGGCCGCCCACCGCTCCTCCTCCTCCGCCGCCCTCAGGATCCGTTTCTGGGCCTACTGCGTCGGGTCTCGTCGGGGGCGAGTCGCTGGCGGAGGAAGCGGCGACGGCGGGGACGGGACTGGGGGCGCCTTGAGGCTCTCCCCGCGCCTCCTCCTCTTCCTCTACCATTCCGGCCAGGCCAGCTCCAAGGCTCCCTTCCTCCTCCGTCGTCGCCGCCACCGCCGCCGCCATCGCTCTCCTCTTTCCCTTCTCTCTTCCCTTCTCTCCTCTCACACAAACCGGGACGAACTGCGCTTGCGCGGAGAAGAACAAGACGAAGAAGGCAAAAAAAACCCAAACCAGCCCCAACCGGTCCGCGCCAGAACCAACCGCCTTCCTCCCTCGCGCGCCACCGCCCGCCAACCGGGAAAGCGGCCGCTGGTCACGTGCCGCCTCTCCCTCTCCAGGGGCGCGAGACACTCTCCTGCTTATTGCCCCCCCTCCCTGCCTTTCAACTAAAACAGCCACTCGAAGGAATATGAATTGACTGACTACGCTGGGAGAGAGAGAGGGGGACGAAAAACCCTACCGCGCATGCGTGACGGAGTGGTAGACTTTCTCTCGCGCATGCCCCGCAAGGTGAAAGGAGGACGGTGGTGTCACTGCGCATGCGCAAAGGGATAAAAGCCGAGGTCTCCTGCGCATGCTTAGCGGCGGGTGATTGGCGGAGAGTAGGATGGAAGTGGGAGCAGCGCACGCGAGGGAGGGGGGTAAATAAACAAAGTAGTAGGCGTTAAGGCGCAGGCGCAGAGAGAGAAAGAGTCCTGCGCGCGCGCGGGGTTGGGGGAATTGAATTCTTCCTCAGCGCAAGGGGGCGGGGCTTCGCGCCGGAGAGGCTCGTAATGGATGAGGAGCGGAAGGAAGGCCCAACGCACTTTGCCCTGTTGCTGGGCAACCAACCTTGAAAGGCCTTCGTGGGCCTGAAGGGCGGATTAGATTCTACAGTATGAAGGGGGGCAAAATCCGCTGACTAGGCCTCGCCTCAGGGCTGACCGTTTAGCGACGAGTTTTCCTACATGTTTAGGTGATAAACCGGGTTTCTGAAATTACCATGTTTTTATTATGTCGCTTGGGCTGCATCCGCAGTGCGGAAATAATCCGGTTTGACGCCACTTTTGTTCAAAACACTGCAGAAATAATCCAGTTCGAGAGTCCTTTAACTGCCATGGCTCAGTGCTATGGGAATCCTGGAATTGTAGTTTATTGTGGCACCAGAGCTTTCTCTGACAGAGAAGGCTAAATCTCTTTCAAAACCATCATTCCCAGAATTTCCCTAGCATTGAGCCAGGGCAGTTACAGCGGTCTCAAACTGGATTATTTCTGCAGTATGTTTTGAACCATAAAATGCCATGGCTCAGTGCTGTGGAATCCTGGCAATTGTAGTTTGTTGTGGCACTCTGTCAGAGAAGGCCTAATGTCTTGCAAAACTACCATTCCCAAAATTCCATAGCATGGAGTCATGGCAGTTAAAGTGGTATGAGACTGGATTATTTCTGCAAT